AAACCCTATAAGCCCTATAAGCTCTAAACCCTAAACCTATAAACCCGAAACCCTTATACCCTAAACCTTATACCCTAAACCTTATACCCTAAACCCTAAACCCTAAGGAATCTCGGCTTCTCAGCGCACAACGGCCTGCCAGCAGACTTGTATTGCGAGAAGGGGGGGAGCCCGAAGGAGCGACTTGGAGGGTTCTTTAGGGTTTAGGGTTTAGGGTTTAGGGTTTGGGGTTTAGGGCTTAGGGCTGAGGGCTTAGGGTTTAGGGGTTTAGGGGTTTAGGGTTTAGGGTTAGGGTTCCTTCTAGGGTTCCTTTAAAGGGAGCTCTATCATAGAATAGAACCCTATAGGATTTCTTAAAGGGAGCCCTGTTATAGATCCTCACAGGACCCTTTAAAGGGAGCCCTATTATAGAACCCCATAGTGCCCTTTAAAGGGAGCCCTATTATGGAACCTCGTGGTACCCGGGTTTAGGGTTTTTGGGGCCTGAAGGGGTCGTTACTGACAATCCTACAGGGCCCGGACTTCCAGAGCGGCCGCAGCTCACTCTCAAGAGGTGTTCAGATACAGTTTAGGGGTTTAGGGCATAGAGGTTTATTTAGGGTTTAGGGTTTAGGGGTTGTTAGGGCTTGGGGCTTAGGGGTTTAGGGTTTACGGGTTTAGGGTTTAGGGGTTTAGGGCTTAGGGGTTTAGGGTTGAGAAGCTCAGCCACTTGTTGCTGCCCCTGGGCCCTATACACCGGTGAAGAGGCAGATATGGAGAGAGGGATAGACGCACACTCTGCATGAGCCTGCGCATGACCCGACAAAACTCAACCCGAAACCTCTACACCCCCAAAAACCCCAACCCCAAAAACCTAAACCCCCAAACCCCGAAACCTTAAACTGTTGAAGCTTGACTCCATGTCTACCTAAATCACTCTGCACCTCCATAGTACATGCGGTGCGCGAAACGCCGACATCAGCTGATCAAGACATCGATCAGCCTGGAATATCCTAGAACCCTATATTGCAACGATTGCTTGGCTGCAGGGTGCTCTGAAAATATAAATACGCATGACCGCCTTTAGGACTTCGGGTTCCTGCGTAATGCAGGGGCCATAATGATCACCTCTACTATCTTGGGGGTTTCCTTCTTATAATTCTAATATAATGGGCCCCAAAACCCTGTTCTAATCATTAAGGCCCCTATATTATAGCATGATATAGCATGCATACCCTTGATTTGCCAATGTGTACGATGAGAACTTGTGTACCTGTTTGTCAGTTTTATGAAAGAAATCTCATGTGTGTATGTTTGTACTTATACCGGGTGTTCCTATAGGAACAGCTGTTCAGCTGCTGCACTGTTCTCTTTGCTTTCTGCAGTGCTAGTAGTGTTCGTCTTTCCGCATGTCGTCCCTATGTCAGGATACCCAAGAAAAAGATGCAGCGGGAGTTGTGAGCGCTTTCGTGGCGATGCTCGGGACCCAAGTGTTCGCATGCATAGGCCATGCCATTCCCTATTGTAAGCCCTAAAGAAGCTTAGGCCCCAAATCGTGTCCAGATGAGAAGTGGTGACCGCTTCAGCTTTCTGGTTGTGATGTCGGCTTCTGTGGTACTCTTGTATTGTGAGCTATGTTTGCTTGCACTGCCTGCGAACAACCTTGATGGTCAGGGAGGTGCAAGCCGGCAAACAGATTGCGTTCAGGGCTCCTGAAGAAAACTGTGGACTATGCGCTACAGTACAGTGGACACCGAAGTCTGTCTGCAGCTGCTTGCGCTGCGGTGGACGTTGTGAAGCGGCCGGCAGAGCTTGACAAGCTGCGCGGTTGCCCACGACATTGTCGTCGTCCTGTACCATCATCTGCCTGTGGGGTGCAGCATGACTGGATCGGCTGTCTCTTGACACGCCTGTGAGGATTACACCCGGGTTGGTGTTTTTCTTGTTCGGGATTCGGGATTAGTCCAACATCAAGAGTGGCGATTCCATCGAGCTCCTGAAGTGCCAAAGTAGGCGAAGACAGCAGCCGGCGTCAATCGGGAGAAGTTTTGTCAGTCGGCAGACCATGCAAATCAAGAGCGCCGTCGAAGAAAACATTTGTCGGGATGCGGACGTTTTCAATTCGCGGATTCCGGACACTAGTGATCCCTCGGGCAAAACAGAAGCGGGCTCACAAAAAGAAAACTTCGCAAGCAGCTTCCCGCAAGCACCGAGGCACACTTTTCTGGGATCCTTGTCGGCGGTGCTTGTCGTCGGCTTACTTGCGGACTTGCAAATTTCAAGGCACAGGGCATAGAGTTGCCTCTGTCATGGTGGGCTCAGGTCATCATCGCCACCCATGAGCCCCTCCGCCGCACCATCAACAGCATGGTCCCCTCACCTTAATCTTTTTGTCCCCGCAAAGAGAGGAGACGCTGAGCCCCAAAATTCAGTACTGTCCGCTATTGGCGGTGGAGCGAAAGCACCGAGGATGGCCGTGCACGTGCAGCAGCTTGGATTCCTTCGCACATGCTGCACGTAGATGTTTCGGGGTTTAGGGCATCCAATAATGAAGGTTCAGGTAGGGTCGCTTTGAACGCTCAGGTACACTTGCTTCATGTTCGTTCTGGCAATCACCTGCGCGATCGTTTGCAACTCTGCAGACGAGGACGCACGAGTGGAGTACAGTGGATTGGTCCCTCACGTGTACAAATCGTATTACCCGCCACCACTATCAATACGCCCCAGCCATCAGCCTTGTCTACTGCACTTCATTTATCAAACCTAGCGAACCCTGCCCAGCTCTACGTAAACCTCCTTGTGACCATAGAGCCCCAGATGGTTCTAATGCCCTGAAGCTCATTAAATCTAATTTATCCCTTCATGTCTTCACAAGCTGAAGCCGTCTTCAACCCTGAAACCGTGCAAACACTGGGTAAACCATCATAAACCCTAAGCCCTAAGCGGTAGAACTCAGAAGGTATCCACACTTCTAGCCCATACCTTAACCAAGGCAGGCTGCACATGCCATCGCGCTTTTTTCGATGCGGGGGACACAAGGGATCCTTATAAGAAGGACTTCCCCAATAAATAGGATTCCTAATATTTGTTTAAGAAATTACTTCTTGAAGAAAGCCTGAAGGCTTCAACCCTGAAGTGTTACCGTTACTAAACCCTAAACTGGGTCCTTGTTGGATACAAGGTTTTTTTATGGTATGATAAAACCCAATAAGGGTTAAACATGATCATTTTGAATGTAGCCCCAACAGGGAACCAGTAAACCCTACGTCTCAACTCCTCAACGGAAGCGGTTCGGGTGGGTCGGTCGCCTGGCAGTGCTGAACGGTCGACCCTGGTCGGGCACCAGCCGCACCTCGCATTACTTGGAGGTTCATGGGTAGTTATAAACGAGTTTATAAGTAGGGTAACTGTACTTATAACCCATAGTAGGGGACTTATAACTCCACTTATAACTACCCATGAACCTCCAAGTATGGCATGGCGCACACGACACGTCGATGTGGCATAGCTGGAACTGCCGCCGCGCAGCATCACGGCAAAGCCTAATCCCCACACCCTAAACCCCGAGAACCTAAAACCCTAGCCCTAGAAGCCCTAAAACCCTGATCCCGAGACCCAAAAACCAGCAAACCCCAAACCCAAGAAGCCCTGAGCCCTCCAGGAGGACACCCGCCACCTCGAGAACTCGGATCCGATCACTACAGCCGAGGCATGGAGCTGCGCAACAGTTGTGGTGTTTCCTTTTTTTTGTGCGCGCATGTGTGTGTGTGTGTGTGGCTGTGTACGTGAATAAGTATCCGTGTGAATACAGATATAGCCAAGAATAGATACAAATATAGATATAAGGACATAAGTATATACATATATCTATCTATCTACCTATCTATCTATCTATCTATCTATCTATCTATCTATCTATCTATCTATCTATCTATATGTGCGTGTGAGGGTTTAGCGGCGGCGGTCCGAATAGTTACAATCATCCCACTCATCCCTAAACCCTCATACATAGTCCCCATGCTGTGCATGAAGGCTACACTATATGGGGGTTTCCGAAAATAGGGGACCCCAATATAGTAGCCTTGTCCCTAAACTTTTAAACCCTAAACCCTAAACCCAGCGTTTGTTCGGACTCCGGTTTGATGATTCAGCATCGGGCCGAGGGTTGAAGGTTGAGGCTTCGAAGTTGAGGTTATAATATTAATTATTTAGGTTATATTTTTTGGGCTATAATATTTACTTTTTAATTTGTAGGTTATATTTTTAGGGTTATAATATTTAAACTATAATTTTTAGGTTATATTTTTGGGGGTTATAATATTTAAAATATAATATTTAGGTTATAACATTTAGGTTGCAGGGTGCGAGCTTTGCTTCGACCTTAGGGTGTAGGTTCAGAGATCAGGGCTTAGGGTTTAGTTTTGTTATTCTCCCGTGTTTAGTCTAGTGTGTCGCAACCCTCCAGCAATGCTACACTAAACCCCAAACCCCAGTAGGATTGTCAGCCATTTGCTGCAATTTGTTTTTCATGTGCTGAGGGCCTAAGTTGCAGGGCTGTTAGAAGTCTGATGTTACTAGGTGGCAGTTTGGTGTGTAGGCTGCCTCATGGTCCTGCAGATGTCATCGTTTCACGGGCCAGAATTACCACAGAGGGGGATTTCCGGTCTGCAGTTTAAGACCCGCAGAATCCTGGAAAAACATTGCCGTGTCGTTGTAGGTCTGCGGCAGCTTCATGCTGGACCCGAGCGGTGACCAGGCGCAGGGCTGTGCACTATAGACAAGCCTGACTTGCTGGTAAGAGCAGCTCCGGTAGATATACGTCTAATCCTCAGCACGGATACACTTCGAACATCTCCTAACCTGCCGCTACTGTAAACCCTGGACCCTGCTACCAAGGGCCTACAGAGATTTTGCAGTATCTTATGGTGTACTATGGTAATGCAATATAGCATAAGGTACGAGCATACCTCATGTAAAAAGTCATGCCGCTCCACTCCAATTATGCGAGCCTCGCACTGCTTCTTTGGTCTCCGCATCAGGACTTTCTTTGGGTTTGTGTTGGACGACTTTTCTACTACGTGACTTGGCATCATTTCTTCGCGTGAGGCGTGTCCACCATGCCAGCATATGGGGGTTTCCGAAAATAGGGGACCCTGATAGTAGCACCCTAAATAGTAGGATCCTTATTACAAGGACCCCAAAATAAGGTAGCCCTTGCTTTCCGAAACTCCCATATATAAGTGCAAGGCCGAGTCGAGGGCCCAGTATTTCTCCAACGGCTAGCTTGCTGAGGTGTAGACTATGAATTTTTCAAAGGGTGAGGGATCCCCAGGAATCCTGATGATGATTTAAGAGCCTCCGGCTCAAGCCGCCGACCCCGCAGGAGTGAGAGGAAAGGACGTGAGGGTTTAGGACAGCAGCCGTCAACGCCGCGTGAGGAGGGAGGGGGAGGGGAGGGAGGGAGGCAGCGGGGGGGAGGGAGGGGGAGGGGGCGGGGAGGCGAGGCAACACACTGCGATGCCGATGCAGATATCTGACGAAGTTACGCCGACGCAAAACACTGCCACTGCCATGGGCAAATCCGACGAAGTTGGTGGCAGAGGCGGCTCTCCAAGCTCGTGGCGTGGGAGCACTCCAGGAAGGTCTGGTCCCGGTGGCATTCCAAGCACAGGTATATCTGACGAAAACATTGCCATGGGCAAAGATGCATCTGACGAGGTTGATCAAGGAGAAGGGCAGAGGGCGGGAGGAGGATGAATCTGGAGATTCTGGAGGAGGGAAAAAGGGTGCTTGACACCTCCCAACCCATCCAGCACGCCGCCAGGGTCGGCGGATTGTCCTGCCAAAAGGCAGGTCCAGGTGTAGGAACCCCGGCCAACAGCCGAGGTTTCTACGTCTGTGACTGTGTTCTTGCATCTTGGCTGCGCAACTCCTCGAGCCGAAAAGATGCCTTGAAACCCTCAATAGGCCCTGCACCTCTCTCGCAGTTTAGGGTTGAAATGGTGGGGATTCGGGGTGATTGCATGCGCTGGGGCAGGTATGCTTTGTCTCAGCGAGGCTGTCTGAGCAGAAGTCGCTGAATGTCGTGCAAGTGAGGTACTACTACATCCGGGACACATTGCAAATTACGAACGAGGCCTCGTCATGGTGCAGTGGTGATGTTGGTTGACTGTCTACGCCGAACAAAAGTGGGTGATATGCTGGTTGTCGACCTGTCGAAGCATGCCCTGTGCTTGTGCTCACTGAACCTCTTACCCCTGAGTTTCAAGCCTGCAAGCTCTCAGCTCCCAAACTCACCGACCCACACAGAAAGCCCAAAACACAGAGCCTCAAACGCAACCCCAAAGCCTTAAACCGGCAAGCTCCAAACGCCGCTCGAATCCGAAGGCCCAAACTTAAAGCCCTAAACCCGCACCCGATGCTGTAAAAACGGGGCCTTCATAATTAGAATAGGGTTTTGGGGCCCATTATACTATAAGTATACTAAGAAACCCCCAAAATAGTATAGGTAATTAGTAAGGCCCCTATAGTAACAGCCTGAAGCTCCTAAACCCTATGGCAGCTTCCGAAAATAAGGGGCACCTTACTCTGGGGGCCTTATGATAAGGATCCTACTGTTTAAGGTCCCATATTAGGGTCCCCTATTTTCGGAAACCCCCCTATAAGCAATCGGTTGAAGCAGGGACCCTAAACCCTAAACCCTAAACCCTATAGTAACAGCCTGAAGCTCCTAAACCTATAAGCAATCGGTTGAAGCAGGGGGAGCTCCGCGTGAAGCTGGCCAGCTTGGTGATCGCCGCACAGGTGGTGGGTGCCTTGGTCTCGGCCCCCTGGATTTCAAGAACTTTTTTTTATTATTATTGTTATTGTTATTATTATTATTACTATTTATTATTTATTACTATTATATAGTATTATTGTTATTATTATTATTGTTGTTATTATTATTATTGTTATTATTATTATTATTAGAATTAGTATTATTAAGAATATATATATATATATATATCTCATGTTTATTTTTATTTTCACGGGGGTTTGGGTGTATGAAGATTTGGAGTTTTCGGGGTTCGGGGCTGGGGAGTTAGAGCTTCTTCACGCCCATTAGGACCGCAGTGGATCACCGAGCTCAGGTTCTAGGGTTTAGGGTTTAATTAGGGTTTAGGGTTTAGGGTTTAGGGTATAGGGTTTAGGGTCAAGGTAAATCCTAAACCCCAATGTTCCACACTCCGCACCCTTCATCCTAGCCTGAAGCATAGATTTGGGTTACGGGGCTTAGGGATGAGAGATCTAGTGCAGCACTTGCGCCAAGATCTGGTCTGAGCGTTCCTGTGGTATCCGACCATTGTCGTGTCTAAACTTTCCCGGTGTGGTAGCGCAGCAGTCCGACTCAGACTCAGTGGTAGTACCTGTTTCAAACCTTCCGCTTGGGACATGAAGGGTTCAGCCCACTTCTTTTTTCCTTCATCCTGACACACGACAGGATGTGCCAGAAAGTTGACGCCTGATGCAACTAAGGTAGAGCCTGTAGAGCACAGATAGCTCTGGCTCTAGTCATCCTTCGTCCATGTTCGTAAATGGCATTTACCATAAGCTCGCAAAGCCATTCGGATTCTGCCAGAGCGCATCCCAGGTACCAGCCGGAAGATCTTCGAACACTTTTGGCTCCTGGCCAGCAGCTTTGTCCCTGTCGTCGTCATTAGGGTTTAGGGTTTAGGGTTTAGGGTCTAGGGGGAAAAACATAGCGATCATCATCGTCATCTTCTTCTGCTTCATCTTCAGCACATTGTCCTCCTCCTCCTCCTCCTCCGCCTCCTCCTAGAGACCAGAGCTAGGGTTCCGGCTTTCAGTTTTCGGGGCTTCGGGCTTTTGTTTTTCAATGAGTTTTGAGGTTCCAGGATCCAAGAGTGTGGGTCTCGGTGTTTTGTTTAGGGTTTGGGGCCGCCCGGGTGTTTCTGACGGCAGCTCTGTGGGGGATGAGGGACGATTGCTAGTGTTAGCTTCCTTCCTGCTGTTATGCCTATATCGATTATGATTCTGCTGTCAATAGTATTGCTACTCTCTGCCGTCAATCGCGCTGTCTTTGCCATTCCTCTCACTGTCTTGTCTTACTTCTTTACAGCTCTTCGTAGCCCGGCTCAGGAAGGAAGCCCGTGATCTACGCGGCCTGCAGCATCATGTCTCTCACCTTCCTGATGTACGTGTGGACGCCCGGCCCAAATCCTAGAAGCCGGACGCCTAGCACTTAAGCTTAGGGGGCCGAGGACTCTAGGAAAGAACCACCTGGGTCTCAGAAGCCCCAAAAGCCCTAAGCCCTGGAGCCCTAAATCGTACCGAGCCCTCCTTTAGCCCTCAACTTGGCTTTTGGGATGGTTGGAGGCTCTCGGACTTCTTTTGTTTGGCTCAGGGGGTCTGGTCTCAGAGGGTTTGGGGGGTTCAAGCTTTTCTGAAACTTCCAGAACACCTTCTTCTTGGTGCGAAGGAGCCGAGCTTCGTTTGTTTTTTTTTTTTTTTTCCGGACTGCTCTGCGGGAATGCAGAGAGAGTCACGGATGTACCAACTTGGAACTGCAGTGGTCATGTCGCAGATCCATGTGATACCCGACTTTGCCGAGGGTGCCGCTGCTTGCGCGCCAGTTGTCTCAAATTGGCCATACAATTGTGTGCATCAAGTTCTCAAGCTACTGGAGGGGCCTTAATAATTACCTATTTTATTTTGCGAGTTCCGTAATATAATTACAGTATAATATGTCCCAAAAGCCCTATTCTATTTATTAAGGCCCCTACATTATACGGTTTCCGTCAAAATTATAGGGATCCTTTTGCCCTCCGTGGTGTCGGTTTCATGTGCTGAATGTCAGCCCAAAGAAAGGGTCCGTTGCCCTTCCCTTGACACGGACTCAGACATTGCCAGGCTGTTTGGGGTTTAGGGTTTGGGGTTTAGGGTTTAGGGTTTTAGCACTCAGCCAGCCAGGGAGGTGTTTCGGTAGTGGACATGACCCGATACTGGTCTGCCGGTCCTTTCCCATGTTTGTATGTCTCGACGGCTTCGCTGGCCCCGCCCTGGACAGTGTAACCAACAACCCCAGAACTCAACCTTAAACTAGCCTTTTAAGCCCTATTGGCCCTACTGCGAACCCTAAAGTCCTAAATCGAAAGCCCTAAGCCCTACAACCCTAAACTTAAACCCTAAACCCTAAACCCTAAATCCTAATCCCTAAACCCTAATCCCGAAACCCTAATACACCACAGCAATAGACTGAAGCCAAGGCGACGTCCGATGGCACCTCATTCTGGCTGCCGGCCTCTGCTATGGCCTCGGCACGGCCCCAAGAGCTTTTGAACATGCTAGGGTTTAGGGTTTAGGGTTTAGGGCTCCTCGAGGGGATCTGTAAGGGCTACTATAAGGGTACCAGAAAGGGTTAGGGTTTGAGGTTTAGGCTTCAGGCTTCAGGGTTAAGGGCTTCCTGGCCCCCATGAATCACACATAGGATCTGCAGTGGTCTGTTGTACCAGGCAGTGGCGTCTACGTCAGCGTCGACTATGCTGCAGACCCAGACATCTGCCCTGGGTTCCTGGCCTTGCTGTCCTTCCGCCTCATCACAAGCTCTTAATTCCCTAAACCCTAAAGCCCAAACCCCTTGAAGGCGTTAACTCCAGCAGCCAGACATCGCCGAAACCTATTTTTTCGCCTTTCTCGGACCTCAGGCCCTTGCCTTGGACTGCTTGCCGGAAGGGAAGTCTACTGCAGAGGCCTTCGGCCTCTGGGGCATCTCAGGCCGGGGGGCGTGTGACAGGGTCACTACGTCGACAATCCGAAACGGGGTGACGCATCCGAGCATCATGTCCCTACTGCTTGTGGGTGACTCGAGTTTTCAGGGTAGCGCCAGGTTCACAGCTATGTGTGTTTGTGTGTGAGTGGTGATTTCGTGTGACTACTGCCGAAGCCTTGAAATGACAGCCAAGAATCCATGTACTGTAGTCATGATACGAATCCCACTGTCGACGGAAAGCGGGATGAAGCTTCTGAACAAGGATAGTGAGAACAGTGGGGACGGAACTATCTTCAGAGGTTGTACGATCCTTGGCAATCCACCACTGAATCCCAGCCCAAACCCTTGACTGTCAGCAGGTAAACCCTGAAGTCCTCCCTTGGCGGCCCGAAAGTCCGCAACACTAAGCCCGGAGCTCGAAATCCTACCTACACAGTCCTAAGCCTGAAGCCCCTTCAATGATTCAAGTCTGAACCCTAGAGCCTGAACTTCAACATTTTGCGCCCGAGCCCCAGGACCCTCGACCAAAAGCCAGTGTCTACTACCTCTGCGGCCCTCCTTGAAAAACAGCAACTCCCCATGGAGTCAGGGTTTTTCGGCTCCACTGCTGGGCCAATCATCGGTGGGCTCCTGCTCGCCGGGCTCTTGGTGGGCTTAAATTGAAGGGCTTGGGGTTGAGTGTTCAAGGTTGCTGGTGAAGGGTCTTGAGATGATTTTCGCGGTTCACTAGGAGTGAAGGGCTTGGAGAGGTTTTTATGCATTTTTTCGTTGATGGCGTGTCCAGCCCAGGCTGTCAACCAAGCCGGTAACTCCGCTGACATGCCCGGCGCGTAAGTTTTTCGGCAGCTCTCAAATCTGTTGTCCTGCTCTTGTAGAGTCCGCTGCAGAGGTCGAGCAAGGTTTCGCACTACACATATGGTGGCTATGCGATCGTCATGCTGCTGCTGGGAGTCGCTTGGCTACAGCTGAACGTGTGCTTTTCAGGTACTAGTGTACCTAAGTTGAGGGCCTTGTCGAGTTGAAGAGGCGGTCTCCCGAGGGGATGCCGTCCCAGGTCTCCATGAACCTCTTCGTCGTCGCGGCCACCTATGCAATCCGTGGCACAAAATGACGCCACGGTGGGAATAAGTGAGCGAAGAGCGCCGACGCACTCCGGAATCACCGAATTCGAGGCGACCGCCTTGTCAAGTGGTATCACACTCCTTTGCCATCGCTTGCTGTCACTTGGTGCAGAAAAAGACGCCCGATAAACTTGCGGAGTGCAGGATGAAGGTTTTCGTGTTCCGTGTCACGAGCTCCAGGCCCTACCCGCTGCGCATTGAAGGTGCGGCCGGGCGCTTGGTCAGATCTCTTTCGCACACGCGGCGAGCCGATGCTAAAAAGGGACGGCGCAGGAAAAAAACGCTAAGTCTGATAGACTGTATACACCCTAAGCCCCTCAGCCTTACCAGAGGCACCTGAACCTTCATCTCAGGGCGACTATGGGAGCCAGCACCAGTTCAAGTCCAATAAGCCCGGGACCACCATTTGCTTGGTGAAGGGAAAGTCGGCTTCTCAGCTGTGTGATTCTGAGTCCTGGTTAAGTCCCTTAGAATCTTAATATCGCCTGGGCTACCGCAATAAGCAAAACATAGTTCAGAGTAATGACTATCAATCCCTCATGAGATGTTATCTTCAGGCAAGTCTTTAGAATGTACTAACGCTTGTAGATCCTTATTGTGGTAGCCATCGATAGGCTCCAGGAGGCCTGGATTGGTCGAGACGTCGGCTCTCCAATCGGAATAGCAGCAATCTCACCAGGGTCATTACTATTACTACTACTGCTGCTAC